ATAGAGATGGCCTCCAACCTAGTAGCAATGGCGTCAAACCTAATAGCAATCTAGTTTTCTCCATTCTTTTTTATATATATAATATATATTATATGTCTGTTTTCTTTGTTTCTGATAGACTGGCCTCCAACCTAGTAGCAATGGCGCAACTATATTGGCCGGACCATTCATTCTTATCTGTGTTCTTTGTTTCTGATAGAGATGGCCTCCAACCTAATTATTAGCGATGGTCTCCAACCTAGTAGCAATGACCGCCAACCTATAATAGCAAACTACATGAGACCTTTCTTCATTTTCTTTGATCTTTGTCCAAAAATAGAGATGGCCTCTAGCCTACTAGCGATGGCCTCCAACCTAGTAGCAATGGCCTCAAACCTAATAGCTAACTATATTGGACCTTTCTTTGTTTTGTACTTTCTTTGTTTCAAGTAGAGATGGCCTCCAACCTACTAGCAATGGCCTCCAACCTAGTAGCAATGGCCCCCAACCTAATAGCAAACTATATTAGATCATGCGTCCTTTTTTGTTTTATATGTTTCGAGATGGCCTCCAACCAACCAACCTAGTAGGAATGGATTGGACAAAATATTACTGTAAGCGATCATCCAGTTCGCCTTCAGTTCGCCTTCAGTGCCTTCTTCGTTGAGTGTGCTGACATGTACTGATGGAAAAGGATCAAATCCAGGGAAGTAAGATCAAGCAAGAGGCTTCCTAAATCTTCCAAGCCCCCGGAATGCAAATATCTGTTGTCATATCATCATTGGACCTGGGTCAACCAAGTATGTACAAGTATTGTTTCATGTTGATTGCAATGAATATTTCCAAGGCAGGCGGTTGTGCAACTTCAGGACAGGGTATGAGCTTTGCAAAAGGTCAGCTTCTGAAGAAGGCTCACGGTTTGCATTGTCGTGACATGACGAAACCATACGAAACCATAATCTATAGAAATCTACATCTACAATCTACCAGTCTACCAGCGTCCATAGTCTAAACATTTGATCTTCGTTCACCCAACAGAGTGGTCAGGATGCAAAAAA